TTGATAAAGTTGTTGCACGTCCAAATTAGTGAATTTGAGCCACTTCTACATTCAGGAATCGTTCAGAAAAAACAAAACACCAGCGAAGAAACTCGACACAGAGGAACAGAAACACCTACTGCCAGCTGTTGTTTCGGAAGTGTATTGCAAGGCAACAGAAACAGCAGCAGATGTATAAATGCACGGCTATGCGCAAGACTTGCGCCGTGGTTCACACCCATCACTTGAAGCAGACGACCCTGATGCTCCGTATTAAGCCTGGTTTATACTTCTGCGTCAGGTGACCGGCGTAACCCACGGCGCATGCAACGCGAGTAGCTGTGCATTTATACTTCTGCTGCTGTCTCTGTTGGTCTGCATTAACACTTCTGAAGCACTAGTTGGCAGTGAGGTGTAAATGTTCCTCTGTGTCGAGTTTCTTCGCTTCTGTTTTGCTATTCTGAACACTTCCTGGATGTACAAATGACTCAAACTCGCTCATTTTGAGGCAGGAACCGGCGGACGTGCAACAACTTTAACCATGAGGTAAACACAGAACAAAACTTTCCATCCAGAGCTCCTTCACAGGACTCCACACTTGTAAACAATCGCTCGCGCCATTCGCGCAGCTCTCGGCCCCGCCGAGACTCGTCAGCGATACCAATCCGACCAATCACAGAGCTTGCACTACGCGTCGTTGCGACGTGCAGTTACATTTTTTGAGAGGTGCACGTCAGTGACGGCGACGGCGAAGGGCTATGCGTCAGCGCCGTAGCATACGCCGGCGTTTGACGCAGAAGTATAAATCAGCCTTTAGTGTGGATGAGGAAAAACAGAGACATCTGAAAACGGAGGCAGGGCTGCTGAGATTCGATACCTGATTGGGGCTTTTGTGTCATTGCCTTCGTCACTGTATCCTTCCCTTATTCGTCAAGCCTCTATCACATGACTATAACACATGGCTTAACGCTACTGGAAGACCGCAGACCCGCCTTCACTGTGAACAACAACACGGGCACAGAAATGGGAGCGTTGTTTGCACTATTGTCTGTTTTAGGCGCCATTGTGCAGTTATTCATTTGTTACGTTTATTAACAACTCGACCTCGTCGTCTGTCACAAAAATACCTCTTTTGCTTTCTTTGCCTTTGCACTTAATGTTCAACCGGCGTTTGTTGACTAACAATAACCAAATGCCGAGCGAGACACATGCTTCCTGTTTATACTAGAACGCGCATGCCCAGAGTGCGCCAATGGTCACGTGATATATGTTTTTGGTGGCGTAGTGTGGACGGAGATATGTTCAGAGACGCTGGGTAAAACGCTAGTGTGGACGCGGATCATTTTTGATCTAAAACACCGGTTTAAAACTAAAACGCACTAGTGTAAACGCGGCCTAAGATCCACCACAAGACGTCTGTCAGGTAGAGTATACACACACACATATGTTCTACATTATAGATGATATATTCATGTGTAGACACTTCTTTTAAACATGACACTTTATATATACACATAATTATACATATTCTGTTAGTATATTTATGTGTATTTATTAATTTGCTTTACAGTTATGAGATAAATACGTCTCCACAGGGGGAAGGTGTTTAATTTTAGCTAAGTGTGTGCATGTGTGTGTGAGTGTGTGTGTGTGGTGACATTAGCAGGGGTCTGCCGCTCTGCTGTTCTGGGTGGGCTTTGTCATCCAGTTTTGAGTGATTTTTCACGGCCGTCCCTCAGTGTGACCCGAGCGCCGGCCCTTTAAGAGGCGGAGCTGAGGAACATGTTGTTGCTATGATAACATCACACACGGCAACAAAAGACCCGCAGGAGGAGGACGACCACACACTCACACTCACTACACACACACTACAGAACACATACACACACTTACTACAGAGCAGACACTCCAAATGACACTACAGTGTGTGTTGCTCCAGCTGAAGTATATGTGTGTATGAGTGTGTGCATGAGAATGTGTGTGCCGTTCCAGCTCAAGTGTGTGTGTGTTGCTACAGCTAAAGTGTATGTACATATGAGTGTGTGTGTGTGTGTGTCACCTGTCATGTTGTTAACTCACTTCACAGAGTGTCTAAAAACTGAATGCTTTGCTTATTTCTGTGAATCCAAATAAACACATAAATGTATGTGTGTGTGTGTGTGTGTGTGTGTGTGTGTGTGTTCTCTGTGATGTCTGTGCCAGGCGTTGCCCTCGCGCCCGTCTCTGCAGCTCCAGCTGTGCCAACATCAGCCTGCCGGAGCTCAAACGGCCTGTTGTTAATGAGGCTCTCTCTGCTTTAATTAGCCTCTGATTAAAGGATGACGATCTGTGTGTGTGTGTGTGTGTGCGCGCTCTTTGTTAGCTCTTTAAAGCAGGCGGGAGCAGCAGACGGACAGAAGAGGCGTTTGTGCCTCTGAGCAGATCATGAGCGTTTATCTGCAGAAAAACACTGAACTATGAGGAGGACAGATCAACACATCATTACCACACACACACACACACACACTAAGAACACTACGCACACACCCTCCGAGAACACTACACACACACACTCACTGATGAACTACAGCACAACACACTCTCTGAGAACACTACACAAGCACACGCACTGAGAACACTACACACACACTTCCTGATGAACTACAGCACAACACTGCACACACTCACATTCTGAGAACACTACACACACACACACACGCACACACTCTCTCTCTCATTGATCCATCCATCCCTGCACCCATTCTTCCATCCATTCATCTGTTCATCCATCTCTCCATCCAACTATTTATCTCTCAATCCATTTATTGATCCATCCATCCATCTATCTCTCCATCCATCCAACTGTCTGCCTATCCATCTATCCCTCAATCAACCCATCCATCCATCCATCCATCCACCAATCCATTCATTAATCCATCAGTCATTCCACCCATCTGTCTATCCATGTATCATCCATCCATTTTCCATCCGTTCATCCATCATCAGTCTTTCCATCTATCTGTCTATCTTTCCTTTTTTCTCTCTATCCATCTCCCTATCTATCCATCCGTTTATCTTTCAATCCATCCATCCGTGTGTTTTTCCATCCATCTCTCAATCCATTCATCTATCCATCAGTATTTCCATCCATCCATCTATCACTGCGTTTATCTATTTATCCATCTTTTTGTCTCTCCATTCTTCCATCCATCTTTATATCACACATCCACCTACCTGACTGTCTATCTCTCAATCTCTCAATCCATTGGATCTATTTGTCCGTCTGATCGTCTATCCATCTCTAAAACCATGCATCCATCCACGAGTCTTTCCACTCATCATCTGTCTATCCCTCTTTTAATTTATCTATCCATCAACTTGTCTCTCTATCTATCTATCTATCTATCTATCTATCTATCTATCTATCTATCTATCTATCTATCTATCTATCTATCTATCTATCTATCTATCTATCTATCTATCTATCTATCTATCTATCTATCTATCTATCTTCCGCTACAGATCTCCAGCAGGCGATGTGAGTTTATAGTGTGTTTGTTTGTTGGCTGCAGATCAGGTGTGTGTGTGTGTGTGTGTGTGTGTGTGTGTGTAAACACGCAGATGTGTTTGCGGTGTGTGAATATACACTTGTGAGTGTGTGTATCTTCATGGTTGGTTTGCCAGAGTCTCTCTATCTGTCCCATGAAACGAAGGAGCACTGATTAATGGATGGATGTGTCCCAAAATTAATTAGCCTGACTAATGTAGTGTGTACTTAATGCCACTGCCGCCTTTGATTTATGACGGCCCAAATGCACAAACACTGTATGAAACGGAGCTTTATTGTGTAAGAATGAATTAACACACACACACACACACACACACACGCACGCACGTGTGCATGAGGTCTCTATCCACCACAGATTCTGCCATGTGTGCATGTACACAAGCGCATATGGACAAACACACCAGCCAGATCACACACACACACACACACACACACAC